CACACACACACACACACACACACACACACACACACATTCCCCCCCCCACACACACACATATATATATATATAATTCTATGTTAAAAATTTAAATATTCTTATTTAAATACCAAAATAATAAGAATGTATCCAGGATTAGGTACGTGTCCGAGAATTGGTACTTTTACCTTACTTACGATAAGATAATAGGAGATACGTTTTCTTACAGTTTTCCTGCTTTCTCATTTTTTACATATCTCGTTTTAAAATGAAAATTCCGGAGACTTCGTATGTTTCCTCGCTCCCGCTGAGTATTTCGTTGCTCTTCGCGTGTCATGCGGCGTTTCCTCTCTGTTCACGCCCCCACGATTTAGCGTGTGAACATTTCATCGCCGGGCGATGCAAAAAATAATTACAAGTGGCTAATCGCAAATACACGAGTGCACGAAGGATAGGCGAACAGGCGATCCCTCGTTGGGTCGTTTTAATGGAATACTATTCGATCGGTGTGCTGATACACTCTTATAAGTAACGCCCGTTAACCATTTGGTCACGCTTTAATGTAACACTGTAACTTGCCTGTGTGCGTGTGTTTAGTGCGCGCACATTTCACGACAATTTCTGCCTTGCCGGCCGTCGTCGGTAACGAATCTGTCGCGTGCTAACTTTGGCCTTATCGCTTTCCCCGTCCCGGTGTTATTTTAGTTCACTGCCGTTTCGATGCATATCCATGACACTCCATGGAAATTTCATGAAACGTCTCTCGCCATTTTGGTGGTACGAAACGGCTCTCTCTCTTTCTCCCGCCCCCTCTGTTCCTCCCTTTTCTCCGCACGGGGAATAATCTGCGTCGGGACGGTTGATTTCGTTAATATAATTCGGAATATTCATTATTCGTGGGGTATGCACACACGCCTGTCGTGTACATCAAAGACGCGTGTTACGTCGCGTTTATCGCCAATTCATCCGGCTGTATTCCGCAATGTGAACGGGATTATCACGCGACCGCGATATCGCACATCGATGTTAACCGCTTTGTGTGTGCGATCGAATCGAACGATTACGGAATCACGAACGAGGCATTATTCAAATACGCGGAAATACGTTGAGCGCGCTCCCGCCCCTCCCCCGGGGCGAGTAAGTAAGAGGTAGGGCCGGGTAAACGAAACTCGGTGAAATACTGGCGTGGACTTAAAACCACTTCCAAGTCTGAAAGGATACGGCCGTTCGAGCGACCCTTCTTCCCTCGACATTGGGGTGGCTTTTGGGGTCGCCACGGGGTTCCCTCGTTCCCCCGTTCTTCCATTGAGACGTCGTCAATTAAGCGCACTCCCGTGTGCTCGTCATTTTCACTGTTTGCCGGACGATTATTTCGGAGTGCTTCAGTATCCGCCCTTGGAATCGCGTGGTCTTTGATCACGTCTCTTTCGTCGGTTAAATGTATAAATTGTCGTTTCGGCTATTACTTTCAGCGGAAATTCGGCTTCCTCGCACTCTGAATTTTTGCTCTTTCTTTCCCCATAGACGAAGTCGCCGAAATCTCGCCGAGCCGCGACCGACAGGCGATATTCAATTCGCGACACGTGAAACGATTCGATTTTCCACGTGAAGAAATATTGTTTCTCTTTCGTTCGTGACGTTGAAAAAAAAAAAAGAAAGAGAACTGCCCGGCAGAGAGGCCGAGCGAGAAGGGTGGCGCGCGGGGACACTCTTTGCCTTCCTCGATGGGAGCAGCGATATTACGAGTACCGTCGATGTGGGCGAGTGTCTCTTCTCGTCCCTTTGTCATCTTCGAGTCCGCATGCGAGTTGAGAAATTGTGCGTAATGGAAGCTTTCTCAAAAAACACTCCGAGACAAAACCGGGTGGAATATAATCCACAGTTATTTAGTCGGAGAAAAAGAAGCCGCGGGAACGGGAGAGCAGACAGAGCGAAAGAGGGAGAGAGAGAAGAGCGACTAGAGGCAGGAGCCCGTAATTGCGGCCGCTACTTTTGACCCTTTTGTTCCTCGTAATTGCTCCAGAAGGAACTGAACATTTTCTCGCCGACAATTATGTCGAACAACGCGATAGAAAGCATTATCTCGAGTCGTCAATTGTAGCGCTGCCCACTCCCCCTCCTAACCACCCTCGAGGTGATGCTGCTGCAAATTATTTCGCTGAATTTTTTTTAACTTTGCTAAATGATCCCGCTCTCCATCCTTCTCTCCCTCTCGCTCGCTCGCTCGCTTTCTCGTTCTCTCCCTCTGTCCCTTGCGCGCAGCCGCGTGTTATCGCGAATCGACCATGTCGTGTGTAATGGACGTGATTGATGAGCCCGGTTGGGACGGGGACTTTGCTTCATCTTGACTATCAAGGCAAAATATTTGTCCAACAGCTGCTGGCAGTCCGGTTTTCGGTTACTTTACGACGGCCGGGGAGTTTTCACGAAATTACCTCGGCGCCGCGTCCCCTAACTCGTGACAATTCGCCAACTTTCTCAGCACGGATCCTGACGAAACGTGGAATTTCGGCAAATCGAGTTATGCGCGAATTTCACGTGTATTTCGAGATAAATTAATCCGCGCTAATCGATCGTGTCTCTTCATTGCTGTGGGTAATGAGGTTTCGTGTAATGGACGATTTTATTATTTTCCTCGCGAGAGGAAGAGAGAGAGGTATACGATATGTATGTTTGCCGGGGCAATCGATAGCGTGTTTTTCCAAAAAGCTTTTATTCGCGCCGAGACGTTACATAACGCGCTGAAACGATAACGTTCAAGTCACTTTAACCTGTCCGCGTGAAATCAATACCGACCTAATGATATCCGACGATCCGCTCGATACCGCCTTAATCGTGCACTTGCCAATTTATAATAATCGCCGACGCACCTCAGTGTGCGTACCTGGAAAAAAAAAATAAGTTCTCCGGTTTCTATAGCGATGTAGAGCGCGAGTGGGAATGTCGGCGCGGGGTACGATGTTCGCACGATACGGTTGATTATTGGAACGGAACCTCGCGCGTTACATTGACCGGCAATTATGCCTGCGCGCGTATTGTCGCAATCCCGACGTCTGCGCGCGTTTTTATTTATCAACGGGCGAGCGTAATAGACCTATCGGTGACGTCGCGGGCATTAAAGTTGCACGGGCGTCGTTTGTCCGGCGACATTCGAAGTCCCGCATTGTATTCCTCTATTTTTACTCCGGGCCTCTGCCAACCGCGAGTTGGCACAAACACAAGGGAGAATCCGCTTCGCGGAAATTCGATTCTTCGGCAGCGCGCGGCTATTAGTTTGCATGAGCTCATAAGAAATTCCGGTCACGCTTAACGTTTTATCCATAAGTAACGCCGCGCCGCGGCTCCGGGTATATAACCTATAAATTCGAGCCGGGGAATATTCGCGTACGGGGTCGACTCTATTAGTGCGCGCTCGTTAAATCGTTATAATCCGAGCTCTTTTAATAATCAACTTAATGAAAAGTGACGTTACGCTAATTATCTCGCGCGTCCGTTCTGCTTGCGCCCGTATCGATCTGCTTCGGCGTATTAACGCTCCATCGAAATCAAACACATACACATACATACACACATACATACACACACACACACACACACACATACATACATACACACACACATACATACACAAACAAACATATACACACTCACAAACAAATAAACACGTACACACACACACACACGAACACGCGTTATTACGAGATCGTTGCGAAACAAGTGGGCCGATTTAGGGATTCAACGCGGCGGGAAGATTCGATTAAATATTCGCGCGAGAACGCTATTATTGTCAGTCGAATTATCGTCGCGCCGCGGCGATCCCGTAAATATTCCATCGCGAACGAAGCATATTTCGTCGTTACAACTGTCCGGGCCCGGCGATACGTTTTTAATTCGACCTAAGTACTGCGGAATAAGCTAATTAATTATACGAGCGTGATTACATGCAGCAGGTACCGGCCGGACCGGCGTGGAATGCGGCTCCGTTTGTGTGTGTGCGCGCCGGCGCGCACGCACACGAGCAAGCGAGCAAGGAGCGAGGGAGCGCGCGCACACGTCTGGCCTTTATCAGAGAGGCAACGACGATTTTACTTTCTTGCCGGCGGCAAGAAGATAGCGCGCTTCACTTTGTGTAACGCGCGCACAGCTCAAAGAACGCCGCACGTTACGCCGCGCGCTCCGCAATTCTCGCGATTTTAATTCACTCGTGTCGCGCGAGCCGGTCCGGCATCGCGAATGGCCCACGGGCTCGGCCCGCGGCCGAAAGTGCACGCTCCCCTTCCCCCCTCCTTTTTGTTCCCCGCGCGAAATTTTAATTAAAAATCCCCGCTCTCCCCGTGCGCCCGTCCCGATCCGTCCGATAACGCAATTACGCGTGTCATTATCTCCGCCTGTGCAATTAGCACGGACACGTGCGCGCGTAACGCAGTCGGCAGTCCCCGACCCGGAGGCTCCTGTTAATAGTTGTCATCTGAGACTTCATGTTTCATGCGGTATACTCAGATTTTTATTTAGAGTCGGATCCAAGTTCCTGAGATGAATTATGAGATACGTGACATTTATATTTGTAATTGCGACTCAACTGAAAGACTCTCATTTAACTCTGAACTGAAATCTGAGACCTGTATCAATAGTCATTACTTAAAACTCGTCTCACGTGACATACTCAGATTTAA